AAATTTCCACAAATAAATTTTATCTGTGTACTCCTGAACATTATCTATTTCGTTTTCTAATTCTTTAGTATCTGTAATTAAACTTTCGATTTCAGAATCAAGCTTCCTTAACTCAGTTTCTTTTTGTTTCAATAATTCGACACATTCCTCTAGTTCTATTAAATTAATTTCATCTGCAGTTAAAATAGTTTCAATTTTCTTTACATAATTAGTAACACTCCTGCGTAAGACCGCTCTTTTTGTTTTAAAAGTTATAAGTTCACTCATAATTGATCAATTCAAAAACATTGAAATAAAATGAAATCGAATTCTGTATTAACACATTTAACAACAAATTAAACGAATTTTTGTTCAAAATCCACTTACCTCACAAAGTGGATAATTTTCACCAACCATATGCATATTTGCGTTGTTAGAATACACTTAGAACAGTCACTATCTTCACTAGCTCTCCGGCTAGACTTTTGACCAACAATAAATGTTCTTAAACTTAATATGTTTCACAAACAATAATCAATCAACAAATGGACTGTATTCCTACACTTTTTTATTACTAATTAACACTTGTCAGCGATGCGAAATAATTGATACAAAATAAGCGAGCCATTCTACATGGCTGTCACAAACACAATTCTATCAATCAATTATCTTGTTGCCACACATAAAGTTCAAAACTAAAGGAAGAAAAGCAAAAGGAATTTACGCTGTTTGCAACAATAAAATGAAGCAAACGATACTCACATAAACAGAATACAGCCTCACTTCGGTTCCTTTCTGATAACTTTACCAGTTATAAACTAGGTCAGGCCTGCTTTTGAATATAAAGAACCATCTCTCAGAATGCAGATGCATTGCTTGGATATTTTAGAATTATGCAACTCCCTCAGTTAGTTTGCTTTTTTAAAATTTAACTAATGATTGAAATTTTATTTCCTCTTATGCTTCCTTGGGTCATTTTTTTTTATATAAATTATAATTTATTATAAAATTAACCTTTTCATAAAACATTATGGCAGTTGGCATAACATAGTTTGCGACGCCCTTGAACCAAATGTACCAGGAATTTTCAGGGAAAATTATCCATGGACTGGCCCTGATTTGCTGCAAATGGATTCCTGTATATACATTTGTTTCCTGTTTTAAACTCAGAACTTACATTAAAATATTTACCATGATTTTCGAGTTCTTCTACACCAAGCCAGCAAAAAAAAACCGTCTACTCAAAGACTTTTTCAAACCAGGTACTCTTGCGGATTGAACGCTACATTGACATCTGAACCTTTCTTCCAAGACTCATTCAAATCCTCTAGACGTTTTTATGTTCGCTAGAATATCCTCCTACATACGGGACACTTATCATGGCTACTAAGTAAACCTTCTTTACACCAGTCAAAAGCCTTTTCCCTTCGCCCATCGTACAGAAACTCAATTCATCTTATACATTCGCATCTAGTCTCAGATTCAAACCAACACCACCACAAAACCTTACCAACATCAATATTCAATTCCCATCATGCACGTATGTCACAATATGGTTTCAGAACAGTCAACTACTCTGCTCCATAATGAACACAACTTGCGATAAATCAAACAAACTGCGCCATAAAGGGGTCCTTAAGACTCTAATCAATGTAAACGCCGCCAAAAATTTCCATAACCGTTGAAAGCTGGTAGTTACTCGAATGTGGTGTTATCGATAACCCCGTTCTTCATTCATTGCCTATTTATCATCCGGGAATGCGTCGTCTGGAAAAAGACCTAGAACCACAGGAAGTCGCATATAGTGTGTTACCATTTCCTAAGAGGCGCTGCTGTGGATTCGAGGCACCTCGAAGTTATCACTCAACTCGTTCACTGAACCACCCCCCTCCCGAGTGGATTTTTGCTCCATTGAGAAACTAATACATTAGTCTGATCATGTTTGCGAAAAAATAAGTGGATGGAAACATTCCGCAGGAAACCTGGTTACCTGGTAAATATAAACACCACCAAAAATTTCCATAACCATTGAAAGCTGGTAGTTGCACGAATGTGATGTTATCTGTAATCTCATTCTCCATTCATTGCCTATTTATCATCCAGGAATTGTGTCATCCAGAAAAAGACCCAGAGCCACTCTGGAAAGTGCATATAATGCATTACCATTTCCTAAGAGATGCTGCTGTAGAGACGAGGCACCTCGAAGTTATCACTCAACTACCCCCCTCCTGAGTGGATTTCTGCTCTACTGAGTAACTAATACATTAGTCTCATGTGTGCGAAAAAATAAGTGGATGGAAACATTTTGCAGGAAATGTGATGGGTTAATCTTTGGACTATGGTAACTTGGCGAAAATTTGGCGACCAACCCTGCTACAGCAACCTACTAGTTTTTTGGGGGGGATGCCATTTTGTTTCATGAAGGAAAGGCATTTTTTTTTACTCACATTTTTTTCCACGATCTGCTAGCCAATTGGCTTATGCTAAACTTTATGGAACAAAAGTGCTAATCTTGACGAGATTAGTCGAATAGGAGAAGTGCAGAATCGCCCATTGCTTGCCGCGTTTGTAGAATGCACTACACGGATCCGTACACTCGACCTATTTGTATCCAGAATTGCACAAAATAATTCACACCTCTTGCTTTATCCATGTACACTGCTAAAGTCCTAGCTAGTAACCTTTATCCTTACCAAAATGTCGCCAAACTACCTGTCACCATATTCCAAAGATTAGCCATGTGATGTTATCGGTAACCCCATTCTCCATTCATTGCCTATTTATCATCAAGGAATTGCATCATCTAGGAAAAGACCCAGAGTCACTCTGGAAAGCACATATAATGCGTTACCATTTCCTAAGAGGCGCTGCTGTGGAGATGAGGCACCTCGAAGTTATCACTCAACTCATTCACTGAACCCTCCCATGTGGATTTCTGCTCCACTGAGTAACTAATACATTAGTCTGATCATGTGTGCAAAAAAAATAAGTGGATGGAAACATTCCGTAGGAAACCTGGTTAATGTAAACACCGCCAAAAATTTCCATAACCATTGAAAGCCGGTAGTTACACAAATGTGATGTTATCGGTAACCCCGTTATCGGTACCGAAATCATTCTAAAAATGTATAAACACCTTCTGTAAAACTGTTTAATGAGCTAGATTTGGCTTATATGAGCTTATTATCATGCATTATCTGCTAACTTCATGTTGCATATTATGTTTTTTCTGACCAACTATACCTTAAATATTAATGCTAAATCCATTGCTGATTACCTGTTGGCTAGCCTAACCTAAACGAACTCTTAATTTAAAATTAGAATAACCTTACATTAAGTATATCAACAGTATGGATTTGAATTACTGGGTCTAAGTTGACAATATTAGCAACTTTTTTTTTTTTTTTTTTTTTTTTTTTTTTTTTTTTAAAGATTGCCAAACTATAGATGCTTATCTCAAGTCAGCATATATTATCACCATATCAAATGGAAAACTTTAGCAATTTAAAATGCAGATTTTAAGAAGTAAAAACCCTACACTTTTCAAAAATCCTTTTTTTTTTTTTTTTTTTTTTCCTGCTGTTGTTCTCAAGTACACAGCTGTCTCTTTTTGCTAAAAAAACAGATAATTGTACAAACTTGGGATGCACACTGGCCATGATAGTGATCCCCTCAAGAACAGCAATATATACTTCAGTATAATGAAAATGAAGGAGGAATTCTGTTTTCACTGTGTAAAAATAGCAGATATCATTTAAAAACAGGGACTATGTGACCAAGAGAAAAATTCCATTATGTCTTTGTTAAAGCGGCCACCAAGATTGAATCACCAATCAACTGATATACACTGAAATCTTTTTGGGCGACTATGCCAGTCCCTATTCACTGCATAAAAACAGGTTTGAGTGTAGCTATAAAAAAATAGTTTTCACAACACAATTAAAAAGTATTTCTTTTATACGGTGGATAGGAACCGCATAATCGCACAAAAACAGGTTCCGGTATATCTCATCAAGATCTGGCTGCATGTTCTTATACTTCGCAACATGATCATATATTAGCACCAGTCTTCTTATACCTCACTATGTAATTATATGTTATTAGCACCGCTTTGCACCTTTCGTCGCATGTTGTTATATTATTCATTTTGTTTATTTAAAAATATATTCATTGCTTTTTTGGGGATGTGCGTGTGAATGTGATGTTAACAATCTTTAATTTAGTAAGAAATGAGGTGGATACCATATCGTTTTTTTAAGAAAGTGCCTTTTACCTGGTTAACGTGTACACGGAAATGGCTACAACATGGAATTTTTACAATGAAACCATTTGGAGGTGCATTGTTAAAAATTGCAAAAAGAAGAGTCTTTGCATTGGAAATTGGTTCAGTGGTTCCAGAATATTACTCATCACTGCTATTAGGTTTATGTATTCTTGGGAAAAGGAGTTGATATCCATGAAATAGTCTAACAAGCAGTTTGAAATGTGTGAAAGTGCTGCAGTTGTCTGGAAATAAAATAATAATAATAAAGATTCTTAGAAATAAATATTCTTAGGAAATCTCCAAATGTGGTTGTGAGTCATTGTAACAAAGAAGTAAAAAAAAAAAAAAAAAAATTCTGCAGTCCTGTTAATTTATTTTATGAAAAAAAAAAATTGCCTGAATACAATTACAATCTAACAACAAAATTACTGTTTAGCATGCACCTGATATTTCAGTTTATCCATTGAAGAAGGAATAAGAATGTTAAGTAAATTTTAAGTTATTGTTTGGACTGTTTAGATATAGTGATTTTCCATAAGCAAGTCTCATTTTGAAAAATCATTTAATGAAAATATGTATGTGTACAAAATATTGCTGACAGATCAGTTTTGTAATAATTATGATACTAAACATGTTGTCGTAACTATCATATTAATGTATAATGTAATGGTTAGCATATTAAATATAAGGTTTGTAATTTATTATAGAAATATTAGAATTAGCAAATTAACAATGGTATTTTTTATTATTTTTTAAGACTCCTAAAATCTATGAAAATAAGAATGGAGCTTTCATAACTGGATTAGATCTGTCTTCTGAGGTAAGTCTGTAAATGATTTATGACATTTGCAAATTTATGATTGCTCTTCCTTTCTCCCAGCTCTGAAAATTTGTTGTTATTTTTTTGTTGTATAGTCTTGCTTTTATCAAATAAATGTGTAATGCTGCATCTTTCATAAGCCTGGCACATCAAACATCCTGCATAATGAATATGCATATCAGTCAAAAAATTTCTCACACAGAGTATTGTTCTATTTAACTAAACACGTGTATAAACAGGTTGGGGTTTCCTCTAAAAAGTGTTTAATACAAAAAAATTATGTGGTCTTAATGTCACGTTGTGTGTAAATTTGTAGTTAAATTAAATGACTCCATTTTCTAATTAGAAGAAATGAAAAATAATGTAAAAATAATAAATTTATGCAAACATGTAGAATGGCAGTTGTCGTATGACTGACTTTTGCTTTCATCTCACAACAATGATGTTACCATACATAAAATATAAACTTATGAGTAGGAGCATCATATACATCTAAAAAAAGCAACCCTAGGTACAGCAACACTCCCACCTTTTGATTGAATGGCATTACACCCAAAACTCATATTCAACATCAGCATAAATTAATATAAAATATAACTGTTCTTGGCATACCAAATAAATATACAAAGTTAGTCAAGAACAATATTAACCATTAAAGTTCAAATAAACTAGAGTTAACGTTCAGTTATGTCGAAATCTCACAAGTAATCTAACAGTTCGTACAAATCTGGTGGTTATTGCATGTCTCATAGCATCAGAATAGTTGAAACCAAGAGATTTTCTGACTTCAGATCATCGACATTTAAAACATTTGGATCTGGATCAAAAATAGACAGAACTTATTACACGGCCAGCAGTTCCAGATCTGAAGTAATAGCAGTGTCAGTTGAAAGTCAACCACATCATATTTGTAATGGATATATTTTCTGAAGTGATTGAATTATGTCTCTTGTTGAAGTTTCCAGTCTTGCAACTCGGATGTTGCCATCTTTCCATAGATAAAACTCTAGTATCTTTACCAGTGACCAGAACGTTCATCTTTTAAAATCACTCATAATCAATAAAAACTAACAGTTCAATCACTAACACAGATTTGGATATATTTTTTACTATTTTTGCACTGTAGCATTTGCCCAAAATACCCCACATAAAATCGCTTTCTGTAATTTTTTGTCAATGAAGGTATCTTCATCATTTCTTTAAATTCTGTTTGTCAGTTAGATGATCTAGGTCTGTTACTCCAACTGTCTGAATATTCTGCAAAAATATGGAAGGCATCAATAGAATCATTTTGTTGGGACCTTCAGAAATCTGTTAAAGGCCTTGAATTAGCAGTGGCTTCACATTCGCACAGAAAACTTATCTACTCTTTGTAATTCAATGAAGCTTTTCCTAAAAAACATTTTAAGAGCTTTTTCAATTTGAATGAGGCATTTACAAAAATCTCTCCTGCTAAAAGGCTGAGAAAGGAATGAACTTCCACTGTATTATCTCTTGCTTTACAACAGACCAATCAATAGATTTGCCACACCAACAAAATTTAAGCCATTGTCATTATAGATCATTTCTGGATGATCACGACAAGCAAATAAATCCTCTAAAACTGAGGAGAAAAGCTTTGGTGGATAAAGTTGTGATAAACTCTAGATGCACAGCAGTATATGCTGTGCAAGTGTATTACACAATCCATGCTTTTCCATCTCCTTTCACAATATCAAAGGTCCAGCTAAGTCAACTCATGTAAGTCCAAAAAATCGAAGCATCTTTAATTTAGTTCTCTGGCAAAGGAGTTGGTGGAGTCTCTAGAGGTTTGGAGTTGTATCTTTAACATCTTATGCATTTTTACTATTTGGCAAACAGATTATCTTTCATTAAGAATCCAAAACTTCTGTTGTAAACAAGATAATAAAATGTCTATCACCTTGTGCTACATTTTTAAATGCACCTGCCTGATAAAAAGCTCTACTATTTGATGCTTTCCAGGAAGAATAATAAGAAATCTGAAGTCATTTGTACACTGTTTGTTAGTTTTGTCTTCGTTTTATAAATCCTTTCTTCACCCTTGAATGCATTTAATGACTTTAATGTGTTTTTCTGTGAAGGCTAATTTTGGATAGTTTTGATAATCCTTTTTTCTGCTTCATTTACTTCATTTACAGTTAGATTTTGGATCATTTTGAATCTTTGAGTTAAAGAGAAATCTCAAAATCTAGCCTAACCTTCTGATAATTTTCGTATAACCTGAAAAGTGAGATAGAAAGTTGTTGCTTACATTAGATTCATTTACCACCAAAGAAATGTATTTCATCTTTTCTTTGATGACTTTCATCAGAAGTCTTCTCTGATTTCAGCCAATCCATATCATTAAGCCGTAACTAGTGGGCCCCTCTTACCATCTCAAAGAAAGGAGTTTTGCTGCTGAACATCCTCTTGAAAGTAAATCAGTTGGATTATAATAGTCCATGAAAGTGTTTCCAGTCTTGCACCTGTGTCAAACTGTAAATTTTATTCATCCTATTCTCTTTGAGAAGGAAGAGAAGCATATCTGGGAATTTTCACAAAATGCAGCAGAATTAGATCATCTGCCCATTTCAGGAATTTTCTTTTAATATCATCGCGTACTTCTGAGTCCCTAGATTTTAGTTAGTTTAGCAAGTGAAATATGCTTTTTGCTTTCAACTTTTGTATGAAGAAACACCAATAATAGTGACAGTTTATTAGAATACGAATTTTCACATTTGTTCAAAATAGAATTAAGTAATTCTTCTGGTATACAAGACTTAACGGAAAATATAGCATGATATTTATCAGAAGCCATACCACTAGACTCAATTGATCTCAGATAGGATTCTAATTTATCATAAAGCTGAACTTTATTATCTTTGATTTTACTATTTGTAGCATTTTTTACTATTAAACTCAAAAATTCAAGCACATGGGCTTTCACTGGCAATTCTTTCCTACTGAATCTTATTTTTAAGCTTTCAGATGCTATTCTATAATTTTCTGCTGTAGGATGATGACTATCAATAATTTCCATTGTTCTACTACTAGGGGGCATACTCTGTATTAAGTAATGGAATTTATCTGCCTTCTCCACAGATTCATCATTAAATCTCAACAACTTCATACTTGTTTGCATATTTTGTTTTTGATTTATCCTTAAGCAATAACTCTAATATTTCTGTATCTAAGTTCATTAAATTACAAAATGCCCTTTTCAAATATTGTTTTTATGCTCTGATATAATTTCATGAAGTTCGCCCTTACTAGTGCTGTTATCTTAACTAGAATATTCATCATGTAATTCTCAAGCAAACAGAAACAAAACAACTTTTTAAAACTTTAAGCATAGGTAGAAAATGTAACTTACTTTTCAAACTCAAATCACATTCAGGATCACCACAATGTCATGTTGTGTGCAAATTTGTAGTTAATTAAATGTCTTCATCTTCTGATCAAATAAATTTATTAAAACATGTAAAACATCAACTCTCTCTTGGCTGTCTTTTGTTTTCATCTCTCAACCATGATGATGTCATGAGTAGGAGCACCCTACATGTGAAAAAAGCAGCCCTAAACACAACCTGTGAAAGATAGACTAATATTCTTTTCAAGTAATGCAGCTAGAGATCTGAAACCATTATTAGTTTATCACTCAAACAGTATCGCAACTTTAAATGAACATAATATTATTAAATCATTCCTGCCTGTATTATGGAAATTGATTCAAAAATATGAATCACCGAGATGGAACATAAAAATTGACAATCTTTATATTCTGTGTCAAAAAATATCTAATAGAAAAGCATTATTCCGAAAATTTTTGAAGTCGCCCATTTGTCATCTGGTATGGCAGCTATAAAAGAATAAATTTTACTTTGTGATTGTCATCAGACTTTTCCAAAAGAAATGTTTTCGAGTTATGTAAAGAACCATGCCTCACTTTCAACATAAGGAAGCATTGATGATGATGAGCTATTAGAAGAGATTTCCAACACAAAGTTGTTTCTCCTAGAAGTGGTTGAGAGGGATAATGAACTGTCAGTACATAGTCTGAGATCTGGAATCACCAGGACTGCTGTAATTCTGGATTCTAGGTCATCAGTTTAAATCTAGTAAGATGACATAAAGATATGTCAACATTGCAACTTCATTTATTGTTTTTGTTAGATAAAAGAATGTGAACTCCCCAATAGGACAGGTATTAGAGCCAGTGAGAAAATTTTAGAATTTAGAGGAGCATCGAGCAGCAAAATTTAGGAATGGCAAAATATTTAGAATTTAGGATCCACAGAGGTAGCACAGGGCTGCTAATGTATAGTCTTGGCCCTGCCCCCCCCCAAACGCTCAAGTGCTGAAAATGTGATCATGGCCAGTATGCATACAACGCTAATAAATGTGTTGTTATTGGCTATAGTAAGACTCCCTGACCATCAGGTGTTTGAAATGAAGGAATCTCATGCAGAAATTTCAGTCAGGAGAAACATCACATTTACAGTAGCACATGTGTTTTTTTTTTTTTTTTTTTTTTTTTTTTTTCTTTAGTATAAAATTAGCCATTTCTAGATTTTTTGTAAGGAAGATTTTTATTATTACAGTCAAAAGTCTTTAATCCGGACTCGTCAGTACTTCGGAGATTCTGGATTATCGGTTTTTCCGGATTTTAGATCATCAATTTAAACCTGGTAAGATGGCATACAGAAATTATAAAATTAAAAATATGAAACCGTAATTTATGAAATCAAGAGCAATTATGATCTAAAGGGTATCAAAATTTAAAAAAAAAAAAAAAAGCTTAATATTTACACTCAAGAGCCAAAACATTATGACCACCTGTCGGTAACGAGTTGGGCCGCCTTTGGTACGCAACACAGCTTCAACCCGCCTTGGCATGGATGCCAAGTCCTTGATAGATGGCCGGAGACAGATTGTACCGGATGTTGTAGCAACGGTCATACAAATCCGAGATATTGTGAATTGGTGGTCTTTGACCTCTGAGCTACGTCCCATGACATCCCAAATGTGTTCTATCAGATTGAGATTCGGTGAGTTAGGCAACCAGGACATTAACTGGAAATCAGCATCATGTTCCTGGAACCACTCCTACTTAATTGTAGCCTTGTGACACGGGGCGTTGTCCTGTTGGAACATTGAATTTCCAGCTGGAAAAACAGAAGCCATGTAAGGGTGCAACTGGATACCCTGTAGCATTCATAGTGTGCTTTATCACAACTACGGGTCCCAGAGACGCCCAAGAGAACGTCCTCCAGAGCATAATACCACCATCACCATCCTGTGTCTGACTTACTGTGCATTGAGGGAGCAACTGTTTACCTGGAAGACGGTGTATCCTGACACGGCCATCGGCATGATGAATGATAAACCGGGATTCATCTGACCAGGCAACTCTCTCCCGCTGATCCATGGACAAATCGCAATGTTCCCGGGCCCAGCGCAGGCGCAGTTGGCGATGACGCTTGGTCAGCAAAGGCACATGAGTGGGACATTTGCTGCGTAGCCCCATATTCAACAGTGCCCGCTGAACAGTGTGCTCCGATACTTTTCTACTTGGCCCTGCATTGTATTTGACTGTCAGCTGAGCTACTGTCTGGCTCCGGTTTTGCTTCACCATGCGAGACAGTCTCCGACGACCATTTTCTTTGATAGCATGTGGACGTCCAACACCATGTCGTTTACTGCAGGTTTCACCGTCATTCATCCACTTTTCATATGTACTAACAGCTGTAGATCGCGAACAACCCACGAGTCGTACAGTTTCGGAAATACTTGTTCCTAGCCTTCGAACCATTACAATCTGCCCTCTATCAAAGTCGCTTAGATCTGCAGCCTTTCCCATCACACACACAAGTAAGTGAAAGAATGATTCTTCAGACTCTTCAGCAGCAGTTAAATACCACTTCCACCTGATCACGTGCCTTCCATGTCATCCAGGCGCGTTCATCGCGAAATGTAGGGCTAATCATAATGTTTTGGCTCTTGAGTGTATTTGTTTTTACTTTATTAAACATTTCTTTCAACGCACGCATGTGTAAAGCATACATTACGCATACTCAAAATTGGAAAATTGCAACCAGGAAACTATTTGTTGTGTATTCGTGATATTTATAATGACGAGGAATTTGATTTAAATCATATCAAAGACGGACTACATCGAGATGAAATACTACATTTAGTAAAGAATTATAAGCCGAATAGAATAAAAACATCTGCCCTGAAGATAAGGATAGTGCTGACAGATCAACTTCCAGTTCATTGCGCGCCGTGACGTTTTCCCCCACCCCCGCAGAGCAGCGTGAATTTGATAAACAGATTTTCGAATGGTTAGAAAAAAAGGATATGCCTTTACCCATTTTTTGCAGCAATTCCACTTTTTGTTTGATGGACATCGAAACATGCTTTCGCTTTCTAGATCCTTTGGCAGCTCCAGAATCGGAAATTCTTTTTGACATAATCGAAAGTTCAAGCTTACTTTTATAAAATTGCTCTAACAGTCTACAAAAAATAATAAGCCGGATCCAATTTGAAGATTAAGGAACAACGCAATCAGCAACATTAACTGAAATAGATAATTAGATAATTTTAGCTCAGCTTATACCGTGCGTTATACATTAAACATACATATGTAAATGCATATGCGCATGTGTAAATGCATATGCGCATGCGTAAACGCATAATGCGTTTACGCATGTGCAGAAAGTTTGTAGCTTTGAGGTCCAGATTAACGACTTTTGACTGTATTATTATTATTATTATTATTATAATTATTATTATTTTCTGATTTTCAGATATTGGACATCTGCTTTTTGGACTTTGCACTACAGTTAATGTTAAATAACGCTTTTGTACAAATTATTTTTAATTATTTTTTATTAAATAGCAGTTAACTTTTATTTTTGTCTCTATCCTTTAAAGTTGATGAAGAGTATATAGATGATATGTAAAATAATACAAATACATATGGAAAAAGAATGCTGCATTTCACACCTGACACAAAAGTCTGCCAGCTTCCCATAAAGGGAAACATTAACATTAAAGGGGTCTTTGAACAGCTGTTACAGGTATTACAACTGCCTGTCATAATTCCTGAGAGATGCTAAAATGTCTGACCTAACAAACTTTTGAAGAGGCTTGATTATTGAAGCACATTTACTTGGAGACTTAATTATAAAAATAGCAAAACTTCTTGGAAGTGTAAGTATCACAGTATCAGTTGTTTTAACAGCATACATGAAAGATGGTAAGGTGACGACTTCAAAGCACGGCAGTAGATGAAGGATAAAACTGAATAATAATGATAGACCTATACTGAAGTGCATAGCAGACTCAAAGCACAAGCAGTGGCTATCTTAGCTGATATCCAAAAGGAACACATTTTCATGATCTTGTTTCAACAAAAACTATGAAATGAGTACAGTTGTGAACATTTATGGTTAGGCTGGCAGTTTATAAACTACTGATGACATCATTTAATATTTTCTAGCAATGTCAGTGATCCAAATCTCACCAAGGTTGGGACCTGCAGCAGTGACAATGAATCATCTAGTCTGACAGTATTCACCCTGTGTCAGACTGCCAGATGCATTTACCTGAGAGAAGCATTTTTGCCTGCATACTTTTTATTTACTGTGAAGAATGGATATGGCTTTCTATTGTTATGAGATAAGATGCCTTAACATCTTATTCTATTGCATAAGAGAGGGTCATACAATCCTTAAGAGTCATTAAAAGTCCTTAAATTTTTTGGAATTGATTTTTGGTCCTTAAAAGTCCTTAATGTTGGCCAAAATCAGCAGAAGGTCCTTAATTTTAATAATCTGAAATTTCTGTCTGTTTTTATGACTGCCATTTTGAGTATGAATTAGCATTTTGGAGGAATATTTTTGGTGATTCACTGACATATATCGTTATCTTTTGAATGGGTTCATGGGCTATAATTTGTCTCTATTTCTAATATAAATGATGGGATACTCGAGTTTCTAAGCAAGAAGTGAAACATAAGCATTTCGAAATTCATTTTTTCTAATAAAGAACTCTTAAACAACTTTTCTATTTTGGGGATGTGAACTCTTGTATTAAACGGCTTTAAATTTCGCAACTTGTTAACATTTTGGCAATTTTAGAATCAGTTTCTATAGAAAATTTTTAATTCCGAGATCTGAGAATTTTTCGACCAATTTTTTTTAAACATCCATAACATTGTTAAATTTCATTAAAATAATGGTAATATATTGAAATTATATATAAAAAATAACATTAAAATAAAACATTCTATTTTTCACTGTCATATTATAAAGTTTCCTTTTTGGCAACTTATTATACAATAATATGAATCTGATAAATAAGGCATATAGCTGTAAAGAGCTGTTTTGTAAATTATGCATATTGCATAATTTACAAAACAGCTCTTAGCAAGAGCAAAATTAGCTATCTAATTAATTAAAAAAGTCTTCTTTTTAATTTTTTCATAGTAAGCATTTTCCTCATTGTCTCAGAATATTCAATAACTCTCAGAATATGCATGAGTTTTCTCTATAACAGGGCTGTCCAACTGGTGGCCCGCGGGCCGTATACGTCTCGCCAAGTTATTTTTACGGCCCGCGAGTACATTTTACTATGTGAAAATTTAAATCTAATTTGAATTTAAAGTTTATTACGAAAATAATACGAAGTTACGAAAGTTACGAAAACTATTTAGTTTATTACGAAGTTACGAAAACTATTTAGTTTTCGTAACTTCACTTAACCTGGCTGAATACAGCAGCAGTCCGTTTAAAGTCTTGGTGCCACATATTATATTTGTGGTTGGTTGTTGTTTATCTATAGTTGGTGCACGTGATGCGCACACTAACCTGCGCTATTTGGTTGATTCATGCAATCATGCAGTCTTGTCTAGAATTTGTTGAGGAGGGACTGTGCTATATTATTAACTTAATTTCTTATTTATTTATTAATTAAAATAATTATTGAATATGAGTGCTACTAATAAAAGAAAAATAGACCTCGAAAATCGAGAATTTCAACATCGCTAGGAGATAGATTATTTATTTATTCTGAACAAGAATGGTAAACTACAGTATTTGGAATGTTTACAAATCATAGCTGTGTGTAAAGAATATAACTTGAAGCGCCATTATCTTTCCATGCATGAAAAAAAGTATCATTCGTATATGCGAGACATGAAAATACCACTAGTGAAAAAAATGAAAAGCAGCTGGATCAACAAATGATTTATTTTAATCAAGAACCAAAATTTCAAGAAGCATCTGTAGCTGCATCGTTTAAAGTTTGCTTAGAAATGCTAAAGTCAAAGAAGCCATTTTTGGGTGTAGAATTCGTTAAAAAATTTGCCATAAAAATGGCTCAAGCATTTAATGACAGCGAAATGGTTAGAAAATTTCAAACAGTATCACTTTCTCTCCAGACTGTAAGCCGACATATAAACGAGATTAGCATGCATGTCACTAATAAATTAGAAAACCTAATCATTATTGCTGTTTTGTCACAAGGGCACAGTTATTCTATATTGTACTGCTGTTATTTCATGATTTTTTATTTCATGAAGTTTTTAACAGTATACATAAATTTTAGGTCTTACTGAAGAAATTAGAAGAACGTGCAGCACGGTTTGGGTTAGAAAAGAATGATGAAAGTCAAATTACTCAGCAGAGAATTGATGCATTATACAAAAGGTAAGAATTCAGTAAAAAGTTTAAATCATAATTCTTAAAGTAACTAATTATAATTGATCATTTTTATTCTGGATTTCAAATATAATTTAATAAGTGTTCCATAGCACATTGGTGAGATTTATCAAAAATTAAAAATTATCCATTTCTTATATATGCATAGAACTGCATTGGGATGAAAGCTCAGTCTGTATAGAATTATTTGGTAAAAAAATTTTAAGAAATTAATTACAAAATTTATTTAAAAATAAATGTGCTTGAATTTTTAAATATGTTTAGAAATAATTATTCTAAATAAAACTAACAGAAAAGTGAACTAAATTTGCTATATATGATTTCTTTTTTTCCATGTGCAACTTTAAAATGTTCTTGCTACATATATACATAATATATTTTTTAAATTCAATTACAACTATGATGTAAATATAAAATTAAAATATGAGAATACTATTTAATAGATGGTAGAGTATGAAGTACAAAATCCCACTGTGCAATATCCAGTCTTTGGGACTATCAGGAGGATAATTTTTTTTTTTAGAGATGCCCTTTTGACAAAGTTTAAGAATGGAGAAGTAAGCATGTCATGAAAGCAATTTTTTTTTTTTTTTTTTACTAAGTGCTACAATGCCATTACAATAATCATTGCCGCTTCCAGATGTTAAGCTCTTCATGAAAACATTCTTTCATGTGGCAAGACTTGTGAGATCAACAGGTCAGCAACAAATTTCATTTCTTCTTCTGTTAACTTGTGGCCTGTTTATTTAGTGAGAAGTGACTGACAATGTTAGACTAACCTGATTTTTTTACTGGACTCATTTGTTTCGCTCATCATCACTGCTTGCGAAAAATGCACTAATATAAGGACAATGTGGCGGCATCTTTTTTGTTCTACACAGATTAATTGTCTGTCCAATTTTTAGTGATCATTATTTCAATTTGTTTAAGAGTATGAATTTTAACTTAAAAAGATTTGATTGGCATAAACCCCATTCACTTCTTTGTGCATTTTATGCAATTTTTTTTAATATATATATTTATATGTAATAAAACTGCGTGTTGATATAAGATGACTTAATGAGAGTTACAAATGATTGGCGTTGAAGAGGACTGCACCATAACTTGAAAATTTTGCTGCGTAGTTAGAATGATGGATGCATAAACCAAAAATACTTGCAGACATGGCCTAAATTCCACAACTAATTTTATTCTTGGATAACGCATATTATCACTGTACTATGTGGAATTTCTTGAAGGATGAAAATTAATAAACTCTATGTAGCGAGTGGCTATGCAAAGCAGCAAAACGAAGCAAGACAAGACAGAAGAGAGGGAATGCAGTTAACTTTTTATACCACTGGATTACATTTCAGATCACATAACAGTTTAATGTTCAGATGTAGGGTTCAGATTTCATGGATAAGTGCATAATATGAAATACTTATTAAATGACTGATCTTTTTCATTTAGTTAGATCTTTTTTGTTTCCTTAGAAATTTTTAGAATGCAGACAGGAGTTAAAGGGCTATTAGTTTATTATTTGAAAGCTAGACTTCATATTTTACATGTTAGATACTTTATATATATTTCTAATTTCTTTTCTGCCAATATTATTTTAACTTCATTGAGATGTTTTTAATGTTCTGCGCATAATGTGTGTGTGCATATATATATATAAAGAGAGAGAGAGACAGAAAGTAAAAAAATTTAAACACATTCTACCCAAAAAGAGTGAAATTTAGTATAAATAAATTTCAAAAAATCCAATAAATACAAAATGAGGATTAATGAAATATGAAACCAAAACCTAAATGTAATAAATACATCCAACAATATACCAACAATGGAAAAAAATAAAGAAGAGAAATTCAATTAGATTTCATGTAACGTAGCATTATCAAGAGGAGAATACTTCGGACCTAATTACAATCCCCTTCTTACTTGAAAACCTTTGTGTTTCTGTATTCAAATAAGCTGATGAACTATTCTAAAGTTTTTTTAACTATAACAATTCATCCCAAAATTTTGGAGGAGGGAACTGTTATAACAATTTTATCACAAATTGTAACTATTAAATTGAATTCTGTGGTCTCTTGAACAATCTAAAATCCAAATGCCTAATATTCAGACCAACAGCAACTTTTTTTTCAATGAAATTTAGGAATGGGTAATATAATAATCAGTAAAATGGGAAGTGTGTTGTAAAAGCGATTCTGCTCCTGACTAATTAAGATTCCTGTATGCCACTTTCAAACATCTGAGGGAATATCTATGACCAATGACAATGCATTAATTAATTTATCGTGAATTACAATTTCAGTCCTTGAGTGGTTGTGTGGGGAAAGGAGAGATCATTTTTCTCTCTGACTAAACAAGAAGTGAAGTCCTAAGAAGTATTTGTTGTGGGGTGTTATACTGGTTTCCCTTCATTAGCATAACAGTGGAATGAGAGGAAGATTTGGAAGAACATAGCAAATTGCAGCCTTCCTTAACTGCTTTCTTTCAGTATATTATTTCTTGCAGGCTGTTATTATCAAAACTGAAGTTTGAATTTTTGATTATATTGAAAAGTCTTTCTTATTCTGGAACTATAGGAGGATCTGCAAAGCAAAAACGTATTTGGTACTTCTCTTATTATAAAGACCTTGGTGTGAGAAAATGGCACTATTGTGTAAAGAATGAAGTGCGATTTCAAAATTAGGCAAACAGCAACCTTATTTTGGCGTAGATTTTGAATGCTATGGAAGACGAAATTTTCCAAATAATGGAATTTGTGAAGAAATGTGGGAAAGTGGTAATAAATGAAGACGTTGTAACAGAAGTTTTTCATTGCAATGACAATACCGCAATCAGCAATCAACAAGTGGATGACAGAATCTGTAGTATAGTTTTAAATCCAGAAAATATTGCTATAAATAGTGACAAAAAAGATTTTTGAGGAAAAAAATTTTGTTTGACTGTTAACTGAGAATTTTCATCATGACAGTTACAGAGCTTGAATAATGGAACTTCATAATTGTCCCAAATTTCTTTCTAAATCTAGACAGTTACTATAGGCTCCTAGTCTGAGATAAGTTATAAAAGACAAATAGTTTTGATAAAGTAATTCTTGTGCTAAAATCAACAAAATTACCAACTTGCTTTCTTATATTTTAAAAGTAAAATGAATTAAAATTCATTAATTTTATGTTGGTATTAAATTTATAGAACAAAATTTATATTTGTTCAGAATAATTCAACACTATTGGATGTTGAATGATCTTTATCTAAAAAAAAAAAAAAAAGAAAGAAAGAAATTGATGCTTAAATTAATTAGATATATAAGCATATTGATTCTGGCATAACACTTATGTGTTTGAAATTCCTCTTTTGCTGCTTGAACTAGAGTAGGAAATCAATCGGTTGGAAACTGATAAAAAATTTCATTAAAAAAGTCAGTGTTGCGAGAAAAACGTGATAGATGATTGCCATGTATAATTTTCAGTATTATGTTGCGTAAGGCATTATGTTTCAAACAATGGCTAGCTCAGAAAGGATTCATGAATCATCTACCCGATGAATTAACAGCTATCTTAATATAAATGGAGCACTTCAAATCTTTTTAACCTAAGGAAAAAGGTTTATTTACACATTTGTACAAGATAAATGAATAAGAAATATCTATCTAGCTACATTATGCAAACATCGTCCTTAGCTATCTGAACCGAGACTCCTCGTTTCTCCCTGATGTCCCATGACGTCAGTCTCTATCTGGCCTTTGATTCGTTGGTGTAGTGATGCCATTCCCAACATCCTCCCTCCTTTTGAGTTGCTGGATAGCTACTCAAAACATTCAAGTCCAATCTTATTGGCATCTTAACAGTTCTACCAGATGGTGTCTTTATAGTCTTAAAACTGTCACATACATCAGAAACATCAGTGGGGTCAGAAGATCGGGGTAGATCTGAAAAGAAAGAAAGGGTGGAAAAAAGTGAAGAAAAGTCAATGTCCAGGTGGCGATTGTTAACTTTGTGTGCCACAGTTCATCTGATCAGCAGAAGTTGACAGGATAATGATGCCTTCATGGCGTATCTTTCATACTTTGTAACAATCAGAGGGATGAACTTTCGTTGTGTCAAAAGGACCGAAGAATTTGGGACGAAGTCAAAGTCCAAGTTGGATTGGCATTTGGTCTCCAAGTTTATATTTGCAGGCTCTTTTTTGGTGTTTCTTTGGGTGTGAAGCAGCTAAAGAATATGAAACAGTAATTTTTCTTCCAGATATTTCAGCATTCTTTGTTGTCTCAAAAGCTTCAACTGCATCTTTTTCCTGTACATAACTGATGGTAGCATTTGGATGTACAGGTGATAAATTCAGAGTTATCTGAGATGCTTTTGGAAAAAGTTCAGCAATTTGAGAAATTGTAGTGTCAGCTGGAATGTCAGAGATAAGTATTTTCCTTGAATTATGTTTCTGTTCTTTGGGAGTGTCTGCACTTTTAGCAGGTGTTTTCTCATTTGCTTGATCCTTGTTCAAACTGATTCAGTTGATTTTGCACAGTTTCTTCATTATTCTTTACGATTGGATTATCATTAACATCATCATTAGCTTCATAACTGTCATCATCATTAGCTTCATAACTGTCATCACTGTCGTCATCATCATTAGCTTCATAACTGTCATCACTCTTGTCGTCATTGTCATCATCATTAACATCAATATCATCTTCATGAGATAAAAAATGCCCCGTGTCAATATTATCAGTTACCTTTTCAATTATATTCAATTTTTCCCATTCCCGGAAAATCGTAGTATATTCTTCTGAAAATGCTTTATCTTGTGCTCGCTGGCACCCTTTTATGCCCCTTCCAAGTTAAATCTTTATTTGTTGGCAAATCGACCATATCAAATTTAAAAGGTAAACAAAGTTCATATCTACTGTCCGAAAGAATTGTCACATTATTTTTAAACTATTCCAAAACTCTAGAATATTCTAAATTCTCTAAAATACCTATGGATTCTAAAGA